AATTTCTGCTGAGTTTGCAAGTGGTTGTGCATTAATTATTGGTAGTGTGGGAATAGCACAGTAAACCAGTGATGTTCTACCCCACCTGGTGCAAACTTCAATGAGTGCTCAGAGTCAGTTCCAACTTGTGGGTTTCCCATAGGCATCTGGTTAGCTACTGTGAGAACAGGATGCTGGACTAGATGGGCTACTGGACTGATCTCACAGGCTCTTATGTTTTTTTGTGTCCACAGCCACCTTCCACCTTAATTTGCTCAGAGGTCTGCATTTGCATCTATGCATATAAATTAACCTATGCAAACTTTATGCAGATTTATGCCACAGGGCTGGTTTTTAACTACCTTGGAAACTGCTGGACTCCTTCATAGGAGGTTTTTGGACAGATGTTTGGTGGCCATCTGTCAGGGATTATTTAGCACTGATTCCTGCATTCCAGAGGGTTGGACAAGATGGTGCCTTCTTACTTTACAAATCTATATGACCTAGCAATACCACACTAGATGAGTGGTAAATTCTTTGAAACTGGCAGAAGACTCATTGCAGTTTCATATCTTAACATGTCCACTGTTCCAACTGGAATAGCTTACCTTCTTTCTTTTTCTTTTCTTTTTTGCACCTTGGATATTGATGCAGGAACCAGATTACTTGGCAAGACTTCTGAAGCAGGTGTTTGGCATTCAGTTATCTTAAAGACTCTCTTGAAGAATGATGGCTGCATGATATGCGTTTATCTTTAATCTCACAGAGTTTGCAGAGGATGTTTTTTTCCTCCCTCCCTCCTGACAAATTGCACTACAGTTTATGGAAATGTAACATTTTCTGTGAATGGCTCCGAGTGGCTGTGATGCATGCTGATGAGTTAGACAAAGTAGCTCGCTGCATACGAGCAACTGTCGCAGCCCTTTCCATTAGCAAATTAAAATCTGTTCAAATTTATTTACTAATATATTAGGAAGAATCTCCGGGCTGACCCACCGACCTGCATTATGGAGCAAACAACAGTGGTTGCGAAAATAATTATTACAAAGTTCGGTGCCTCCTGTTTGTTTCCTATTTTAATCATAACTTGAGGTCAGCAGCATGGCAGATTTACCATCTGCATTCTGTGCTCAGGCTACATTTACTTAAAAATTATCAATTACATTTCCCAGTAGCTTCTTCCACCGAACACCACTGAATCAGGGAAGCATAGCTTTGTTAAAAAAAATCTCCTTCTCTGCAAAACACAGCTGCCTGAAATATTTTTCCGTGGATTTATGGGGACATTTGTGACATCATGCCTTTTTCAACTGAAACTGGTGCCAGTGTGATACATTCTACGTAAGGGCCACAGATTCCAACATGGTGTTAAGGATGCTAAAGCCCTTTGATGTCAGCGAGCTGCACATTTCATTGGGCTTTAGCAGCTGTGTAGATCTGGGGCAGGGCTTTGGTTGGGTGACAGAGCATCTGCTCTGCATGCAAGAAGGTTCAAGGTTCAGTTCCCAATGGCAACACCAGGTAGTTTGGGGAATGTCCACTGTCTGAATACCTGGAGGGCCACATAGCCAGTATGAGCTAGACTCCAGTGGTATAAGGCATTTTCCTGCATCTCTGGCTAAACCCACACCTCTAAAGCTGCAGCTATCACATTCACTAGAAGCTTCCTTATTCCAGGTTGGACCACTGTGCCAAGAGCCTGTCCCCTGCATGCACAAGACCATTAAGTTCAAACTGCACTGTTCCCACTGGTCCATCGCACTTCGTATAGTTTACAGAGCTAGCCAACATGGCATCTCACAGTTGACATTGAACTACAAATCCTGTCACCCCTGACTTTTGGCTATTCTAGCTAGGGCCAATGGGAGTTGTGGTTTAACAACCTCTGGAGGGTTAACTTGTTGGGTGCCTCTTGTGAACACTGAGTGGTAGCAGCTGTCTTGGGTTTAGAAAGTCAGGAATCTTCCTCAACTTGACCTGGAGATGGCAGGGATTGAACCTGGGATTAGTCTAATGCAGGATATCTGTGAGAATTAGCTATTATGGCTATATCCTCCCTCCACTGTCAGGAGCCAGCATGCCTCTAAACACCAGTCACTGGGAATCACAAGTGGGGATACTGCTGTTGCACTCAGGTCCTGTGTGTGGGTTTCTCATGGGCCTTTCCAGGTGTCCACTGTGAGAAAAGGATGCTGGGCTAGATAGATGAGCCATTGACCTAATCTTCTTATGTTCTTAGGACTCTCATTAAAATAGAGGTCTATTACTTGTAAATTAGGACACCTGGCTACCCAACTGCTAGATCACAATATGGTTGTGGTTTTTTGTGGGGGGAGGCAGCTATCTCTGGGCTTCAGGGGGAGCCCCAAAGCAGCTATGGAGAGACAATTGCAATGGAAGATGTTGTATTTCACACTCACACACCCACACCCACAATACATATATATAACACGCCAGCGACTTCTCCCCCCAGTTGAACACATTAAGTGATTCTGTCCAATATAGTTTCAAAGAAATCTAAACCATTTGGACAGTGTTTTAACAAATGTTTTCCAAAATATTCCAAACAAGGCTTTGGCACTGCAAGTTTCTGTTTAATACTACTACTACAAATAATGATGATTGGGGTGGGGGGTTGGGGAGAGCTGGGTGTAAGAGAGAATGTTCAGACCATGGAATTTATTTATTTTTAAGACTGAAAAACCTTGATATGAGGTTTGGGATGTGTTGTTGGTTCCCCCTAATGGCGAAGCCCAGGTATGACTTAGGAAATAAAATTTAGGAGAGGTTTGAGATAGTTTTTAAAGAAAAAAAATTGCTGCTACCTCTTTAAATGTAATGTGGGGAGCGGGTGAGGGGGAATTTACACTTTGTCATCAGCAGCTGCAAATTCCTTCAGAGGATGATCTCAGAAGTTGTATGGAGACCCAACATTCCTCTTGTAGAGCTACAATTCCCAGAGTCCCTGGAGAAGGGGGACTGATTATTTAATCCACTCTTGAGAACTGCAGCTCTGTGAGGGAAATAGGGATCTCCTAGCAACTTTAATCAGCCTTAACAAACTGCATTTCCCAGGATTTTTTGGTTTAAAGTGGTATCAGAGTTCTTTAAATGTATGGTGTGAATGTGGCTTAATTCTTTGTCACCATTTCCCTTCCCACTGGGTTCTACTTCAAGTGGAATCTTGAGACTAAGAAGGAGGGAAGCAGACAGCTAGGGCCACCTCCTGGTCTTGTTGCTAGCAGGGAGGCAGGCAGGCAGCAATATGCTGAGACGCAGACTAAGATTAGTGGGGAAGGGCCCCATTCATTCTAATGGACCAGCCTCCATTCCTATTGCTTCCTATAGTGACCATTGGGATGCTTCCAGTAAGTCCATCTTGAGGGCACGAAGGCAACCACTTTTCTCTGCTGTGTACTGTGTCTGGGAGACCGGCTTTGTAAAATAGCCCACACCAATTACTAGCTTGCACAATTACTTATGAGCTTGCTAGCAGGCTGTTATTGTTGTTGTTTAGTCACTTAGTCGTGTCCGCCTCTCCGTGACCCCATGGACCAGAGCACGCCAGGCACTCCTGTCTTCCACTGCCTCCCGCAGTTTGGTCAGACTCATGCTAGCAGGCTAGTAGCATGGAAATGCAGACTACTAGTAAAAATAACATTAGTCACCAGCAGCAGCAGCAGCAGCAGCAGAAGCAGCAGCAGCAGCAGCTGCTGCTGCTTCTACCAGGTGGATGCTACAGCACTTTTTTCTTAGGTAAAGATAAAGGGTAAAGGGAACACTGACCATTAGGTCCAGTCACAGATGACTCTGGGGCGCTCATCTCGCTTTACTGGGTGAGGGAGCCGGCATACAGCTTCCAGGTCATGTGGCCAGCATGACTATGCCGCTTCTGGCGAAACAGAGCAGTGCACGGAAATGCGGTACCTATTTATCTACTTGCACTTTGACGTGCTTTCGAACTGCTAGGTTTGCAGGAGCTGGGACCGAGCAATGGGAGCTCACCCGGTCATGGGGATTCGAACTGCCAGCCTTCCAATCGGCAAGCCCTAGGCTCTGTGGTTTAACCCACAGTGCCACCCGCATCCCACCTTTTTCTTAAGCTTGCTCAATTTCTCAGTAGCTAGGCACTCCAGCTCATGGGCCAGTCATTGCTCAACTAGGGGGTCAGAATTTGCCCTTGAGGCCATTTTGCCAAAATGATGCCCACCAGCTGTTGTCACTGGGTAACTGTGGAATACCTGCATTTGACACACATTTTATGGCATGTTATTGACTGATATTCTGGACTGCATCCAACAAAGTTTTACTCAGAGTAAATAAAATAATGGACTTGTTAGCCATGTCCATTAATTTCAATGGGTTTACTCTGAGTAGGTCTAGCATGGGAATCAACCCTATATATTTAGAATAAAGAACTAATAAAGTTGGAAGGGACAATGCCAAGCCTTTAAACCCATGGTTCCCAAGGTGGGGCATGCGCCCCACAGGGGGGCAATTTGATTTTTAAAGGCGGGGGGCAATTTGAGAAGGAGTTATTAACAGTGAATGGCCTTTTGGGCTTCCTCCACACTAATAGGAATTCACTTTTTGAATACAGCAGTACCCCAGGTTACATACACTTCAGTTACAGACTCCGCTAACCCAGAAATATTACCTCGGGTTAAGAACTTTGCTTCAGGATGAGAACAGAAATTGTTCTCCGGCGGTGCGGCGGCAGCAGCAGCAGGAGGCCCCATTAGCTAAAGTGGTGCTTCAGGTTAAGAACAGTTTCAGGTTAAGAATGGGTCTCCGGAACGAATTAAGTACTTAACCTGAGATACCACTGTAATAAGAATTATATGTCACAGGGGGTGGGGGTGGGCATCAGGATTTTAGAGATGCTTAGGTGGGGCATGGGCAAAGAAAGGTTGGGAACCGCTGCTTTAAACAATGGTTAAGTCTCCTGGAAGACTGCTTTTCCATTTTTGGGAAAAGAGGCTCCCACTCATTACTGCAGGGAAAGCATACTCCTTGGACACTTTTTTTCAGATGTGAATTTCAGTCTTTTATATTTCATCTGTAGGTGACAGTACAAGATTCTCTGCCATGAGCAGAAGAAGTGTTCAGAGAGGAAGTCCCTCCATTGTCATCAAGACCAGGCTAATAATACAAGCGGGGTAGCCAATGTGGTGTCCCTCCAGATGTTGTTGAACTCCAGCTCCCATCATCCCCAGCTGTCTTGGCCAATGGTGCCAGGGATAATGGGAGCTGTAGTCCAGCAGCATCTGAAGGGCACTACTTTGGCTACCCCTGATGTGAGGCCACCTGTGCCCCTGCCCTCTTCACTTTCCTTTTGGGATGATGCTGTCCTCCGCCTGCTCTTGACCCATCCCCATTGACCACCTGGTTCCAGTCTTTGTGCTTGCTAGTCAGAGTCTTCAGAATCCTCTTCACTTTTCCTATGTTTCACTTTTTTGTGTGAGCTTTTTTTACTTTTCGTCTCACCTTCCTTCTTCTTTTTAGAGCTCTTCTCATTCTTACTTTTTTCCTCTTTCTTATTCTTTACCTTTGATGCCACTGCCTTCTTGACCTTCCCAATGTGTTTCTGAACATTCTTGGACTTTGCGGCCTTCTTAATCTTCCCAATGTGCTTCTGAACAGTCTTGGAGTTTGCTGCCTTCTTAATCTTACGAACATGCTTCTGAACAGCCTTTGATTTTGCGGCCTTCTTAATCTTACCAATGTGCTTCTTAACAGCCTTGGAGTTTGCGGCCTTCTTAATCTTACTAACATGCTTCTGAACAGCCTTCGATTTTGCGGCCTTCTTGATCTTACCAATATGCTTCTGAACAGCTTTCGATTTTGCAACCTTCTTAATTTTACCAATGTGCTTTTGCACAGCTTCGGATTTTGCAACCTTCTTAATTTTACCTAGTTTCTTCTTTATTGCATGCCTTTTCCCTTTCTTCTTTTTCTTTGCTTTTCCTTCTGGGACAGAATATCCTCCTTCCTCCTCCTCCTCCTCCTCCTCCTCCTCCTCTTCCATTATTTTCTTTTTCCTTGTTTCTATAATAATAATAATAATAATAATAATAAGAAGAAGAAGAAGAAGACACACACACACAACCCCCCCCCCATAACTTGTACCCTACCCATCTGACTGGGTTGCCCCAGGCATCTGTGTGGCTTCCAGCAAAACATAACAGAACACAGCAAAACATAGCAAAACATTAGAGGCTCCCCAATACACAATTGTACTCTAGATCCTTTCCCAACAATTCATACTTCTTAGCTTGTACAGTGGTACCTCAGGTCACAGACACTTCAGGTTACAGGCTCTGCTAACCCAGAAATAGTACCTCGGGTTAAGAACTGTGCTTCAGGATGAGAACAGAAATTGTGCTCCAGCGGCGCGGCGGCAGCGGGAAGCCCCATTAGCTAAAGTGGTGCTTCAGGTTAAGAACGGACCTCCAGAACGAATTAAGTTCTTAACCCGAGGTACCACTGTATAGTCAATTCATACTCCTCAGCTACAATATAATAGAACTATCTTAGAAAGATAAAACCAGACTAGCTGCCAGTTTCACATCTAAGCCTAGTTATGATAGCTTTGACCAAATTGTGTTATTTTCACTTAATTCCAAGAATAAGTTGGGGGATTTTTCGTGAGGAGGGGGCAGGCTTCTTGGGCTTCATCAACTATTTGATTGTGCCAACTCCAGCACTCAGCAGGATGTCTGACATATGCCCCGTCTGCAATATACCGTATTTTTCACCCTATAGGATGCACTTTTCTCCCTCCAAAAATGAAGGAGAAATGTGTGTGCGTCCTATGGGGCGAATGCAGGCATTCGCTGAAGCCTGGAGAGCGAGAGGGGTCGGTGCGCACCGACCCGGCTCGCTCTCCAGGCTTCAGGAGCTGTCCGCAAGCCTTGGAAGCCCGGCGCGACTTCCCGCCAGGCTCCCAAGGCTTGCGGACAGCAGCCTGCAGCCCAAAACCTGGGGAGCGCAGCAGAGCGCGCCCCGGGCTTTGGGCAGATATCTGCAAGCCTGGGGAGACCGGCGGGAGTTCCCGCCAGGCTCCCAAGGCTTGCGGATAGCAGCCTGTTCTGGGGGCCGGGGTCGGGGAAGCTCGGGCTTCCCCCGCCCCAGCCCTGTGCCTGGGGGGGAAATAATTTTTTTTCCTTTATCCCCCCTCAAAAAAACCCCCTAGGTGTGCCCTATGGGCCTGTGCGCCCTATAGGGCGAAAAATACGGTACATACAAAGCAGTGTAATTCTAGTTTCAACATCCAAACTTCCCCCCAAAGAATGCTGGGGATTGTAATTTGTTAAGGGCACTGAGAGTTGTTAAGAGAATCTTACTCCCTGTACAGAGCTACACTTTCCTGAGTGGTTTTGTGAGACAATCAGCCTCATATAACCAACATGCTTAAATCTAATTAATGCATGAAGTTATGTAAGACCATAAAGAAGCTGTCCTGCCAGGCTTAACTTACCTTGGAAGGGACTAGGTAATCAATCCTTTGCTCCCCTCTTAGTCTACCTGGCTATTTCCTAGTTCTTCTTCTTTTATATTTTTATTTGTTTTGTTTATTTTTATTTGTTTTACACACAACAACAACAGATTAAATTCTGATGCTTGATTCGGAGACCATAGTGGTCCAGCACCCACAAACTCATAACACTATATTTCCATGATTTCCATTGCTGTAGTTTTGGTGAAATAATAATAATAATAATAATTTTCTTGCTACAGTAGGTCAGCTGGGCAAACATGCACTCATATTCCAAGTTGCAGCAGTAACCTGCAGAGTTCAATGTTGTTGTTGACATCCATCTGTCTCAGGAGACAGTAGAAGATTGCTCCACTGTGATTTTCATATTGAGAGTTAAAATTGAGTGTAAAGTAGTTGATTTTCATTTGAGTTTATTTCCTTAAAAGCGTATAAAAATTATTTGGGAAATACAGGAGGAAATGAGTAATTTTTTTGGTTAGAATATAGAACTTTCATGTGCAAGGATTGTCTATCTGAGGTTGAGTTCTGACTTGGATTTATTTGGCTAAGATGATTATTAAAAGGTGACACTGATTTTGTGACCTGCTTTGGAGAAGAGGGGGGCAAGGTTTAAATGTATTTGGTAGCTTTATTGTTTACAAAAAAGTCTAGGCTAGCCCATCAGTGTCTGAGCCACATGTGTCAATTCTGAAGCTTTGTTGTCCTCTAAGTTGTATTAAGCCTTTGTGGCATCCTTTACTGTTTTTGTGCAAAACCTTCAATGGGTAATTTTTACTCCCGAGTAAGCTTTCTTCAAAGGCACTCTCTTTCTTCATTTGTTTGATTATTTCAGTATGTGTGGTTCTAGTCATTTCAGGGTCCATATGAGAGGACAATTTGCTCTTTTGCAAGGTTTAACTTAGTTATTTTTTGTGTGTGTGTGCATGCCTGAATATTGGGTACAGGAGTGTTTGTTTGTATATTGGGTACAGTAGTGTGTGCCTAGGTTTCTGTTGACTTTTGCTGAAATGAAAGGGAAGTATAAGCAAGTGAATGTTAGTGTCAAAGAAAGCTGGAAGTGTGAAATAAACGGAGCATTCAACAATGATTTTTAAGAATGGACTGTTGTGTTTTTGTTTTAAAGTTTGCATGTGTGGAGTGAGGGGTAGTGGTTAATGTTGGCACATGTGCCAATCTTCCCTATTGATCCAATGGTTTCAGGAGAAGCATCATGTGAAACAAGTTAACAGTAACACAGAAACATACATGCTTCGATTAAGCAGGAATCACTGCTTTATAGAATCAAAATAGTTCATTTGGCCTAATGCCCCTACTAGAACTGTTCAATAGATTAGTTCCTGGACCTGAAACTTGGGGGCTATGGGAAATTCTAATTTGGGCTTAGCCTTTTGATTAGACAAGTGTACCCAAAGTGTAGGGACTGTGGGTTAAACCACAGAGCTTAGGACTTGCCGATCAGAAGGTCGGCGGTTTGAATCCCCGTGACGGGGTGAGCTCCCGTTTCTCGGTCCCTGCTCCTGCAAACCTAGCAGTTCGATAGCACGTCAAAGTGCAAGTAGATAAATAGGAACAACTCCAGCTGGAAGGTAAACGGCGTTTCCGTGTGCTGCTCTGGTTTGCCGGAAGTGGCTTAGTCATGCTGGCCACATGACCCTGAAGCTGTACGCCGGCTCTCTCGGCCAATAAAGCTAGATGAGCGCCACAACCCCAGAGTCGGCCACGACTGGACCTAATGGTCAGGGGTCCCTTTATCTTTACCTTTACCCAAAGTGTGCCCAATTAACCTTTTTTGGCCCCTTTGGAAGGCGAGAAAGCGATTCGCCCATGGGTGCAGATCAAGGCAAGATAAAACTCACACAGAGGATGGCAAGGGGTTGAAGACATTTCTCTCAGGACGTGTCAACATCTGTGCTAGTTAGAGGATTGCTGATAATCAATGAAAGCCATTCACAGGGATTCATTAAAGGGGAATTGTTGTGGAATAACAAAGAGATGGGGTCCAGAAGACTAATTTGACACCGGGCACAAAAGAAAGCTGAAACAAGAAAACTTCATGTTTCTTTATGAATAGACCTTCCTGCTGAGTGTAAAGCATAAACAATCATGTTTAAACTAAGGGAGAAGACTTCTCCCAAAGTTCTTAAATGTCCATAAATGATTAAAAGTAATCTCATATTGGACGTTGGTCTCCTCAGATTAGTTGGATCAAGGAAGCCTTGAAAGGGGGGTTATTAGTTTCCCTCTCATTCTCTGTATCATCTTGCTATGTTGTGGCATTCAATGCTTGTAAAAATGTGTTAATAGTTTTGTAAATTAGTTCAAGAGGTAGATTAGGATTTCAGCAGGAAATTATGGGATACACACTGACTGGAAATGAAGCGGTGTGATCACCCCAAAACTTCTGTAGGTGGAAATGCTTTTTGTGTGCATGTTTTAAGGCACTAACAGTATTGAATGTGGAATTGCATAGGACCACCCTGATAGCATCATGAACAGAAAGGTGTTCAAAGGAACCCCAATGCACTATTATTGTTGCACAATATAACCACAATAAAATTCCTCTCTGGAGAGTCCCTTATCTCTTTTGCATCTGGCACCGGTTGGTAGGTTTCTAGTAAAAATCAAAGCAGATCTGACAATACTGAAGTCTTTCCACCTCAGGTCTACAGGTGCATCATTGACAACAGTTTTACCTGTCTTAGCTGAGCCTTCATATTCCTTTTCTTCCATTAGTTTTTTCCTGCCTGCCTCTTTTTCCTCCTGGACTTGCCTCAAAAAGAAATTTTGCGCCAAAAGGCGCTTGCCACGAGCGTTAACCCCCTTCAGTCGACCTACCAGTTCACTGGAAGAGGAAGCAAGTTTGTCAAAGGAAGAAGGCATCTGAAACCCCGCCTCCCAACAGCAAGTGTGTCATCACTCCTCAGAGAAAGAGATGTGAAAGCACTGTTGGCCAACACCCATTTACTACTATGGCTAATGAACATTTATCCAGCAATAATATAGGGATCTGCCTTATACCGAGTCAGACTGGTCCATCTAGCTCAGTACTGTCTACACTGATTGGCAGCAGCTCTCTAGGGTTTCAGGCAGGGATAATTCCCAGGCCTACCTAGAGATTCTGGGACTGAACCTTTGAGTTGCCACATGCAAGGGTGATGCTCAAACATCAAGCAAAAATGAAGAAGAAGAAGAAGAAGAAGAAGAAGAAGAAGAAGAAGAAGAAGAAAAGGTTAAATTGTTTATGTATGCTGCTACCACAGCCAGAATCCTGTATGTGCAGAAGTGGAAAGAAGGAGAAATTCCAACAAAGGAAGAATAGATTTTAAAGTTACTGGGCTATGCAGAGATGGCAAAATTGACAGCAAAAATAAGAGACCAAAAAGATGAGAATTTTGTCAAAGCGTGGGTATTTTTTTTGGACTATTTAAGGAAAAATTATAGTCAAATGAAATTGCAAGCAGGATTTGAATTATAGGCAAGGGGAGGAGAATAAATAAATGAATATTATGAAAATAAAAGGTAGTTATGGCAGCAGATAAATGACTGCAACAGGAGCATCTCGGACATCAGAATGGGAAGTCAAAATGTAAGAAATTATTATATCAAAAGTGAATTGAATAATTTCACGTAAAAAAAACTAATTGAAAATTATTATTAAAAAATAGACATACTTACGAGAGGAGACACCACAAAGCAATTGCGATCACAAAGGCAAAACCAAAGCCTATAGAACCTTCGACAACAATCTTTGCGAAGGCGGGCCGGTTTGGAATCACTGTAAATTAAAGAAAGCACCATGAGCCAGGTACCCACGACCTCTCTTACACCAGCTCTCTCCAACTTGGTGCCCTCTAGATGTTTGGGACTACAATTTCCATCAACCTCAGCCAGCAGAACCATGGTATGGAGGAAAAAGTAATATCATTTCTCATTTTAAGGTGATTCTACTTACTTCACACTGTCTGAAGCAACAAACGGGAACCAAAACACAGGCACCCACTTCTTCGAATTTTGCAAGGAGGTGGACCAGGCTCCGGGATTAAAAACCCATGGGGTGGACCAAGGTGAAACCTTCCAGCTCAGTCCAATCCACTGCAGGGGGCCCCCAGCACTACAATCTGCCTGTCATTGGCCAAATAGGGAGGGAAGCTGTGATCCACTTGCTGGCCCTGGCTGAAGCCAAATAGGGTTCACCCAAGCCCGCGAAAATCCTCTACCTCCAGTACAACTGCAATTTCCAGGGGAGGAATTGCTGCCGTCCCTGCAACGGCGCCTGACTTAGCAGTCAGAATCATTACACAACAGATAAAACTTGTACAAACGGTTTTTCAAAAATTTCTTCTCTTCTTTATGCTTCCACTACCCTCTTATTTTTATTCAACACCCCTACAAGGCTACAACTGCCCCCTGGGTCATTCCAGGGCCCCCCAGTGGCGGTACTGCACACTTTGGAAAACGCTGGTTTACAGAGTTTAGATGTGTTAGTGAGTGAAGTAGCAGTTCTTGCAATGAGCTACCTGAACCAGCTGGTGGCGGAAGACTGAAAGGCAACCTATACTTCCCTCACTGATTCCTTCTCTTTAAGTAACTAATTGTTGGCAAAGCAGATCACATCTTCTCACTGTGTCCTTCCTTCTTGCTTCTCCAATTTAGTTAGTCCCCGTATAAGTTGCCATGCGCCAGTGTAATTTCTGCGCTCCATCTTGGCCAGATGTAAAGCTTTGCTTGCCATGAGCAATAAACTGATGTTTTCTTTGTCTTGCCAGGCTATTTCTTTCTGTAATATATTTACCAAACCCTAGCAAGATGGTAGTGGGGGTGTGAGTGTGTGAAACATTCAAACATGAAATTTTCACACCTGGGAGGGCTGTACCACACACCTTCTCTCAACCTTTGAATCACTCCCCGTTCTTGCTATCCAATTGTTCTTAGGAGTACAACAAATGCAACTTCCAATAATGTTGCATGACAGTTAGATCTCAGCATAGACATATATGCATTGGGAAATTGCATGCCCTTAAAACATTATCTCCTAATAATAATAATAATAATAATAATAATAATAATTTTATTTATACCCCACCCATCTGTCTGGGTTTCCCCAGCCACTCTGGGTGGCTTACAACACATAAAAAATTGTAAAACATTAGACATTGAAAATTTCCCAATACAGGGTCTCCCATCAAACCCTTCCCACACCTTGCAATGTTCCAGGAGACATACAGTAGCAAATCATTCTTAAAGCGGTAGTTAAATAAACACATTTACCATTGTTCCAGTTGATGGATCTTTTCAAGAGAACATGCGGTCGAGAGAGTCCAGTCTTGTGTGGGATGCTTCTGACTTCCACAAAAAGAACAGGTTGAAACAGTGCAAGACATGATCAAGAAGACAAGAAAACTATTGGACACAGGAAGATCCAAATCTAAGAAGTGCGTTAATATTAATTGAGCAACATCAAAGTGCATTAACATGCATTTTGAGAAGTTATTAGTTCAACAACAGTTAAAAGTGGCCAGTTGCTAAGGTATGGCTAATATTTTTACAATCCTTTCATGCCAGAAGACTTTTCAGTGTGCATTTCGCATGATATTGTGGGCAGTAGAAAGGCATAGGGCATTACTGATCATTTGACAAGACATTATCAGGTGAGCCCTAAGCATTCATTTTATAAAACTCTGTATCTCGGTTTCATTTTTAAAAATCCAAGTGGTACACAATGAGAAGTAGATTTTATTTATTTGTTTATTAGATTTATATGCCGCCCTTCATCAGAAGATCTCGGGACAGTTCACAAGGTTAAAATACGAGATAAAAGAACAGATAAATAGTTAAAACAGAAACAACGAAACAAGAACCCCTCTCTCACAAACACATTTAAAAGGCTGTAGAATAATAATCAGCCAAAGGCCTGGTTGAAGAGGAATGTTTTGGCCTGGCACCTAAAGATATACAAGGAAGGCGCCTAGTGGGAGTAAGGAGATCCTGCAAGTAAACTGGTCCCAAGCAGTTAAGGGCTTTATATACCTATAGCAACACCTTGAACGTGGCCAGGTAGCAGATTGGCAACCAGTACAGATGCTGCCCTCTAGTGGTCCTACCCATGTGCTATCCCAGTGACTGCCCCTGCCCCAAGGAATGTATGATTAGTGACAGAGAGTTTTGCTACTCCTTTGTTGTTGTTTAGTCGTGTCCGACTCTTCGTGACCCCATGGACCAGAGCATGCCAGGTACTCCTGTCTTCCACTGCCTCCCGCAGTTTGGTCAGACTCATGTTTGTAGCTTCGAGAACACTGTCCAACCATCTCGTCCTCTGTCGTCCCCTTCTCCTCTGCTACTCCTAATCAAAGCCATTAACCACATATTGGTCTTAACCCCACCCCCCGGAAGTTTTAAACATTTTTGGAATGCATAGTAGTACATGGAAGTTTATTTAGCCAGTCTATTGTGGACACACACACACACACAAAAATCATCTCACCCATAAACTCCAGAAGTGATTCCGAAGTTGGCTGAGCTGTCCCAGCATTGGCCTCTGGAGCTGGAGGACTCTTCCCGAGCTCTTCGTATGCCTTGAAAGGTGCTAAAACATTTAGAGGGGGAGTGGATGACTTCACTGGAAAGCAAGCTGTAGAACAGGGGTCAGGAACCTTTTCCTGCATGGTGGCCACAATGGCTCTTTGGTAACCTTTAAGGGGCCACATGGCATCCCCCCTCCCCCATAAAAAACCACCCTCTCCATCATCCACTCAGGTAAGCATAGTTATGATTCAATTTTTGGCCAGGCAAAAATACTTAGAATGGTAGAGTTGGAAGGGACCCCAAGGGTCATGTAGGCGAACCTCCTGCAATGCAGGAATCTCAAGCATTCAGGACAGATGGCCCCCCAACCTCTGCTTAAAAACCTTCAAGGGAGGAGAGCCCACCAGCTCTCAAGGGAGACAGTTCCACTGTTGAACAGCTCTTACTGAGGAGCATGTGTAGCGGGGCTGGTGTGGGGCGTAGCCTCAGTAGAGGGGACATGGCAGGGAAGAGTCCTGAAGGCCAGGAAGAGAGACTTGGAGAGCCACATTTGGCCAAAGGTTAGAGGTTCTGGTCTAGGATGTGGAGCATAATCTAATTTTTTAGAAGCAAGCTAGGACAGAAGAACAAGTTCCCAGCTCTGCATTTACCTTATAAGGCCAATGTGAGGAGGGAAACCCTTGCAAGGGAAAATCTCTTGGCAGGAGGGTGCTATCAACCTTCTGAGGAAAGAAATGACCGAGAAGAGACATGATAGATTTGTGTGCCCGCTGCTGTCTCCTTGCTGCCCAGCTTATAGGCATTGGGAACAGCTGATGAAGACAGGAACACATCAAGGCTGCATCTGCAATATACAGTGGTACCTCTGGTTGCAAACGGGATCCATTCCGGAAGTCCATTCGTAACATGAGCAGAACACAACCCACGTCTGCACGTGCACAGGTCGTTATTTGTTGCTTCTGCGCATGCGCGTGGCATCATTTTGCGCGTCTGCGCATGCGCAAGCAGCGAAACCCGGAAGTAACCCTTTTCGGTACTTCTGGGTTGCCGCGGGACGCAACCTCAAAACGCTCAACCTGAAGCAAACGTAACAAGAGGTATGACTGTACTTTTAAAGCATCCAACTTCAAATACCCATGGCTTTACCCCAAAGAATCCTGGAAGCTGTTAAGGATGCTGAGAGTTGCCAGGAGAGCCCTACCCCTGCAGAGCTACAATCTTCAGAGGGGTTTAACAGTCACTACCTGTTCCCAGCGAACACTGGGAATTGTAGCTCTGTGAGGGGGATAGTGGTCTCTAACAACCTCAGCACCCTTAAACTACTGTTCCCAGGATACTTTGGGTGAAGCCATGGCTGTTTAAAGTGTTGTGATACTGCTTTAAATGTACAGTTCAGATGTGGCTGTAATCTGCAAAATGGAAAGAAGCATGCTATTTCATTGTCAGAAGATCACACAGAGTACTAGATTCCACGTTACACAGATGGACAGAACATCATTAACCCTGCCTAAGGGAGATTAGCTGGGGAAAGTTTTCCTTTACAAACTGCTGGAAGCCACAACTGTTTAAAGTTGTTGGCATGATACTGCTTTAAATGCACAGTGCAAATAGGGCTAATATCTGTCTACTCCCCAGTTGTTCCCAGTGCAGTTGGGCAGTGGGTGTGAGGACACATGGTGGGATCTTATTGTTTGTGGAAGAATAATTTAAACTTTCCCATCCCAGCATACTCTGATGGGTGGGTGGAGAAGGCTGTGTGTGTGTGCGGGAAAGAAAGAAAGAAAGAAAGAAAGAAAGAAAGAAAGAAAGAAAGAAAGAAAGATGATGAAGGCACTTCCAGACTCTTATTATTTTTGGATGGGTTCTTTCACATACTGGTAAGTTCAGATCACACAATTATAGTTGACTTGGAGGTGTTGAGCAACAAACCCACTTCCCCCAAAGATCAGATGTTTTGCTTAAGGAAAGTAATGGGAAACCATACTGGGGAGAGTGGGAAAACACTTGCTTTGAAGCAATGCCTTCTGACCTTTGCTCAAGCAAATCAGGATGAATGCTTAATAAGCAGGTTGCCTTGAATAGCCCTGCATGGGGACAGTGGCTTGGCCCCACTCCTTTTGGCTCAGAGGACCTAAGTGGGTTCTGCTGCCGAGTTATGGGAAAGACCAATTTCAGCTCACCTGAAAATACATTTCTAGGACAGCATGATAACTCCACAGAAAGGATTGTGAAAAGGGATGGCACAATCTGGTTCATTGTCGAAGTGTCGCAGGTTCTTTCTGGTCTGAAGATAATGGCAAGAGGCCAAGGAATGTAGAGGTGACCAAAAGTGTCTAAATGTGAAGCTATTTCCACCCCGTCATTGGAGCTGCAATGCTTCCAATTGCTGCTTTGGTTTACCTTTTCGATCTTACACATTTTCATTCCGTTACATCACAATGAACTGGACCTTTGTAAATAATTCTAGAACTGGACCTATGGGAAGTTCTGCTAGTGATGTAGCAATGAAACTGCTCGCACATTTGCAAAGCTAAGCAGGGACTGGTATGGTTTCAAATTGGATGGTGGAACTGCATGTTGAAATTCCTGCATTGAGGGGGTTGGACAAGATGACCTTCAAGGTCCCTTCCAACTATACAATTCTATGATTGTAGGAACTGCCCATAGCAGAAAATATTGGTAAGTTTGAAATTTGACATCCCTAAAAGGGAAAACTCTCAAGCATTATCTATATTATGGATTCATAACTTACCTATGTTACAGACTCATGTAGACTTTAGCTACCACAATGGCCCACAAGGAATTCTGGGAATTGTAGCTTAGTGAAGTTCTGAGAGCTCTGGAGCTCTCTGTCTTGCCCACCACAGCAAGGAACAAGAAACAGTGTTTAAAGCCAATGCAATACCAGGTCTTTGTGCATATAAAACAGTGTTGTGGCAAGATCAGCTATAAATTCAGGATTAGCAAATGCTTGAATTAGGAGTAGGGTGTTGCACAAGAGAGGAGCTTGCCCTTTTAGCTACTGGGCTGAACCCAGACAAACTCGCTAGCATCTTGGGATAGGTTTTAGTTTCCAGTTTTTCTAAATTTCTCATTTTTCCAGTGAGTTTTCTGCATTTTCACTATTTTTTATAAAATTAGTCCTCATTAAAACTAGCATTTTGGAGTACATTTATCTCAATACACACAATTTTTGTAATGAATTCCCCCTAATAGAATTAATTTATTGTATGTAGGTTTTGCTAATGTAATCGTTTATATGCACAACTCTCCCCTAGTGTATGGATTTTTGAGTACATTGCTTGCCTGCAAAACTGTATCGCAGAATTTGAATTTTGAATGTTAGCTGCATTTCAGTGCAGATATTGTTTCGTGAAGTGCAATAGAAAGTCTAATATCCACCTGCACAAACATGGTGGAAGTCCCAGGTCTAATAATTTGGGCACCAATCTATGCGGAAGAATAGTATTAAATGCAGAACTAAAGTCTACAAATAACAGTCTCGCGTAGTTCCCTTGCTTCTCCAAATGAGTTTCCCATTGCGAAAACTGTGGAGAAGGCAGAGAGGTGTGATTTGGTTAAAACTGGGGGAAGTCAGAGGAGTGGTGGTTCTGATTAATGCAGTGCAGCCAGGATACAGATCAGTGATAGTGCATCTCCTTTGCATACAGAAAGTCCCAGGTTCAATTCCTGGCACCTGCAGCTGGGCTGGAAGTGACTCCTGCTTGATGCCAATAGCAGACGCTCCAAGTGACCAAATTTTCCAGGAACACTCCTAGATTTACAGAAGCTGTCACAGTTTCTGATTTGAACCCGGAATGTCCCTCTTTTCCTTAGGATGCCCTATTTACATCAGAGAAATGTTGGAGGGTATGATAGGACGTCCCTGTTTTCATCAGAGGGTGTGGAGTTATGTGACACTGAGCCAAGGAGTTAACTATACAAACTTTAGAAGACATTTGAAGGCAGCCCTGCATAGGGAAGTTTTTAAATGTTTGAAACTATTATTATATTATTGTTATTGTTATTGTTATTGTTATTGTTATTATTTGAAAGCCACCCAGAGTGGCTGGGGCAACCCAGTCAGATAGGCGGGGTATAAATAATAAAATTGTTGTTGTTGTTGTTGTTGAATAGGGTGTCCCTATTTTCATCGGATAAATCTTGGAAGGTATGCAATAGGCAGAGGGTTTCAGAGTGTGGGTGCTGCCTACCAAAAGATCGATTTCTTACAAATGTGGAACAATTATTATGTGTTGTTACCGGTAACTGGGCCAGTTATGCAGGTCAAAGCAGTGCAGTGAATGTAATTGGGGTAAGGCAATTTTGCAGGTAAACTGGTCCCAAGTTTTTTTTTTTTTTAATATTTTATTAAGGATTTTCTTGTTTTACAGAAGTAAGTGTAATGCCTCATATTTCCCCCCCCCCATGTAACATTTTTACAAATCCGTTTCATTTGTTGAGGCATTAGGGGGAGAAGAAAAAAAGGAAAAAAGAAAGGGGGAGTGGAGAGAGGGAAGAGGGATGGGGGTGGGGTCGGGTGGCGGTGTTTCTATTATGTTTAATGTATGTAGAGTTTGGTGTCAGCGTTGCTTGTGTTGTTCACTTGTGTTCCTTTGGTGGTGAGAGAGGTTGGGGTTGGCCTAGGGTGTGATTGTTTGCTTGTGATTGGCTGTGGTGATCTTTGTTTTCGTGTGTGAGTGAGGTGGGTGGGTGTTTTGGATCAGGTTAGCCATATTGATTTGTATGCTGTTGGTGGATTATTGTCATTGTCCTGCTGGGCTGTGTATGTGATAAAGGGGAGCCATACCGGGGTGAAGGCGTCTTCTTCTGTTTGTCCCCATGTCAGTTTCAGTTTATTAGTTAATTTTTCTAGTAGGGCTGTTTTCCATACAATTTGGTACCATTGGTCCATGCTTACTCCTGACAGGTCTCTCCAGTGTCTGGTTATGGTGTTTCTGGCTGCTGAAAGTAGGTGGGTTCTGAGTACTTTGTGGTGTAAATGGGCATTGTTGTCTTGGAAGATGTTTAGTAGGGCCAATTCTGGGGTGATGTCTATTACTTGCTTAGTTATTTTACATATTTCTTGTATGGCTGTTGTCCAGAATAGTTGGATTTTGGGACACTCCCACCACATGTGGAGGTATGTGCCTGTGGAGGTGCACCCTCTCCAGCATTTTGGTGAGGTTCCTAGGTGTATTAGCGCTAGTTTCCTTGGTGTTAGGTACCACCTGTAGGTGAGTTTCAGTGTGAGTTCTTTTCTTTTTGTTGATATGGATTTAAAGGGGGGTTTAGACCACATTCTGGTCCATTGAGTGGGGTTAATCTCATAGCCTATGTCATTTTCCTATTGTTTTTTTGATTGCATCTAAGGGATTTGCGGGATTTTGGAGTAGTATTTTGTATATTGCGGATACCGTCCCTTTACCGTTTCCCTTTGTTGTTAGGAGGAGGTTTTCGAAGGTTGTCAGGGGCCTAGTTGCTGCTGATTTTACTGTTGGGTTGTTTAAGAGGGCATGTAGTTGGTGTTGTGTTAACCAGGGCATTTGGGTGTCTTCTAGTTTGTCTTGTATTTCTTGTGTTGACAAGGGTTTGTTATTTTTATAAAAGTCTATTAGGCGATATAAGCCTTTGGTTTGCCAGGTTTTTATCTGGAGGTTTTGTGCTGCATGGTGGAATAATGGGTGGTACGCCAGGGGGATTAGTGGGGATGGGGTTGGAGATAGTTTGCCTACTTGTGTTTTCCATGCTTTGAGCATGGTCTGTGTGTACCTGTTAAGTGTTGTGGGAATTTTCTTTAGTTTGTTTGGGAGGAGTGGGTATGTTGTGGTGCAGGTATTTTCAATTGTGTCCCTCTCTAGGTGTACCCATTGTTTTGTCTCATCTTCTAGTATATATGGGATTATATGGCGTATTTGGTTGGCATTGTAATATGCTTCTATGTTGGGGATTCCCCATCCTCCTTCTGAGGTGGGGAGATGCAGGTATTTGAGGCTTATTCTTGGTTTTTTATGTGAGAAGATGAAAGAGCGTAGTTTTCTCTGCCAACTGCGAAGTTGGGTTGAGGGGATCCAGATTGGGAGGGTTTGGAATAGGTAGGTTAGTTTTGGGAGTGTGATCATTTTGATCATGGCTATTTTGTCTGAGAGAGTGAAATTCATGTTGTTCCATCTCTTTAGGTCTTTGTTAATTTGTCGCCACAGGGGCTTGTAGTTGTGGAGGTACAATTTATTGAGGTTTCTGGTTATTTGTACCCCTAGGTATCTGAACTTGGTGTGGCAAAGTTTTATTTTGGTGACCTTCGTGAGTTCTTTTTGGGTGTGAGGAGGGGTGGGTGTTGAAGCACATAGCTTCTGACTTTGTAAAATTTACCTGTAGGCCCGACACCATTGCAAATGTGTTGAGTTCTCTGATTAGGGAGGTTGCTGTGCTTATGGGTCTGGTGTTGTGACCATTAGGTCATCTGCAAAGAGCCCTAATTTATAGGTTCTGCCTTTTATTTCCACTCCCTTGATGTCTGTGGCTGCTCGGATGCGGATTGCTAAGGGTTCCAGAGCCAGGATAAATAAGAAGGGAGATAGTGGGCATCCTTGTTTCGTGCCTCTTTGGATAGCTATAGTGTTAGAATCCATATTGTTAGTTCTGCATTTTGCTGAGGCTTGGGAGTATATTTGTTTGAGGATTTGTAGGAAGTTGGGGCCAAATTTCATGTTAGTTAGTACTGCTAATATGTATTTCCACTCCAAGCAATCAAAGGCTTTGAGGATGTCTAGGGACATAATTGTCAATGGGAGTTTGGTTGCCTTGCTGTGTTCGATCAGGTTCAGTAGTTTCCTGATGGGGTCTGTTATATTGCGGCCAGGGACAAAGCCAGTCTGGTCTGGGGCTATTAACTTGTGTAGGAAGATTTTTAGGTGGTTGGCCAAGATTGATGTGAATATCTTGTAGTCTTGGTTTATTAATGAGATTGGGCTGTATGATTCTACTTTGAGGCTGTCTTTTAGTGGTTTTGGGATGGAGACTATCTTGGAGTGGGTCCAGGTTTGGGGGATGGGGCCCCCTTTTATGATGTCGTTGAATAGGCGGGTCATGTAGGGCATCAAGGGTTCTTTGAATTTCTTATAGAATTCTGCTGTGAAGCCGTCTGGGCCTGGGGCTTTGTGTGGTTTCAGGTTTTTGAGGACCGCATCTATTTCCTCTGGGGTGATAGGGCTGTCCATGAATTCCTGTTCCTCATCAGTTAGGGTAGGCATGGTCAGTCCTGCTAGAAATGTTCTGATTTCCTTCTCTGGTGGGTAATGGGAGGTGTATAGGGTTGGAGTAGAATTCTGCAAATTCTGAGGTTATTTCTTCGGGGGAGAATGTTATGTTGCCGTCTTTTTTGGTGATGCAGTGTATTCATGTTTTGAGTGCTTT